GGTGCCTCTCTTTTATAGCCAACATAAACCTAGTCCCAATAGAAGCCTAACTTCTATGGACTCAGGATTACTGCTAATCTTGGACTCCCAGTAAGATTAGGATAAACTCTCTAAGAGTCTTATCTTAATACAAACTGAAGTCTTCTCTCATTCTAGGACTCTTGTCCCTCATCTAGATTGAGTTCCCTTTTCATTCTAGGACTCTTGTCCCTTATCCACTTATCTCGGATTCCGATATCTTCGGAGATAACCTCGGCCTTGCCGAGATCACCTCGGCGTCATGACCAGGACACGTGGCACCTTCACTGACACGTCGGCGTCACCTTGCCACGTGTTGGTACTCAGAAAATATATCCCCACAGTTGTATATGAGCAAACCATCTCAATCTATTCTCCCTCAATTTATCTTCTATCGGTACGACTTCTACCTATTCTCAAATATACTAATTCCTAACTTTGTTTTTTCTAGTCTTGCCACACATCTACCTTAACATCCTCATCTCAACAACATTTATCTCGACTACATGTTGTTTCTTAGTTGCCTAACATTCCGTTTTATATAACATTGCTAGTCTAATAGCTGTTCTATAGAACTTTTCTTTTAGTGTAGTGGGTATTCGTTTATCGCGTAGTAGCCTAGACGCACTCCTCAATTTAAGCCATCATGCCTTAATTCTATGGACCACATTCGCTCCAATCTCCCTAGCCGTTGTGATAATCGATACTAAATAACCAAAATGTTCACTCTTAGGTAGTGCTTGGTCTTCAATTTTCACTTTTTCTTTGTTTCCATTGTTACTGTTACTAAAATTATACTCCATGTACTCTGTCTTAATGTTACTTATCCTAAATCCTTTAAATTCAAGTGTTTTTTTTCCAAGTCTCCAACTTAATATTAACGTCTTCTCTAGTCTCATCAACTAATAGGACACCATCTGCAAAAGCCATTCACTATGGTATATTATCCTGAATATTTCTCATCAACTTATCGATAATTAAACCAAAAAGATAAAGGCTTAAAGTTGATCTCTGGTGTAATCCTACAGAAATTGAAAATTCACTTGTCTCTCTAGTCGGCGATCTAATAGTAGTCACCACACCTTTATACATATCCCTAATCACATCAATGTAACATTTTGTCACCCATTTCTTCCCTAATCACATCAATGTAACCTTTTGTCACCCATTTCTTCTCTAACACCCACCAGATTATATCCCGAGGCACTATATCATATGCTTTTTCAAGATCGATGAAAACCATATGAATGCCTATTTTCTCAATTTCCATTTTATTTATTATCATTTTGGTTTTGGAAAGAAATGATTTCAAAACGGTCTTAGCAATGTAATTGCTGTTGGTTAATGATGTATTCGTATTGGAATTAAAAAAGAAATTGCTAGTTGGTATTGAGATACCTGGATTGACTTGTGGAAATGGATTTTAAATCAAACTAATGTATTGAATTCGGAAAATGTTTTGAATAAACGAAAATTTTTGAAGACTGGGAAGAAAGGGTTTTTATTGAGAAAACAAATGGATTTGAGAATGCATTTGGACATACTATATATGTATGTATTGCATTCATGATCATTTACACTGGTGGAACATATTTAGTTTTTGAAATATTTTCTACTTGGCTTTATGTTTACCTTATGCGGCTGAAAATGTTTTTCAATATGCTTATGTGGATGTGGACTGAGACAGTGAGGTTGTGTTTGGAACCATGTAGGGTGGTTCCTTTATTTGTAGGCCCTGAGCCATTTATGTTATTGTTAACTATATGCCATTCTTGTAAGGGTTACACCATTTGTATATGATGTAAGCCTTTGGACATTTTAATTTGATTATAACATCTTTGTATGTTTTAGTTATAGAACATTCATTCGACTTAGATATTGTATCTAAGATTGTATAAACTTAGAATAACACATGTACTATCTGCCTATATTATATACATCTGCATGAGTGTTGTTAGTTATCATTTATCGTTGGGTGGTTTACTCACGTGGGGCCGGACCTTGTAAATCCGGGACGTGACGGATGAAAACCATATAAATATCTCTTTCATTTTTCTATACTTTTCTATTACTCTTCTCAAAAGATAGATCGCTTCCATTGTTGACCTACCAGGCATAAACCCAAATTGATTCTTTGACATCTCTGTTATATCTCACAATCGACGTTCCATCACTTTCTCTTACACTTTCATTTTATGACACATTAGCTTGATTCTTCTATAGTTGTTACAGTTCTAGATATTTCCTTTATTCTTATAGATTGGCACTAAGATACTTTTCCTTCACTCCTCTAACATTTTCCTAGTCAACAAAATCTTACTAAATAACCTAGCCAACTAAGCCACCTCTCTCTTACCCAAACATGTCCAAGCCTCAATAAGGATATCATCGGGTCCTAAAGCCTTATTCGATTTTATTTTCTTAAATACAATCTCCACTTCCAAGTTCCTAATCCTACGATAGAACTTGTAGTCCTCGTTTTCCTTATTACTGCCTACTTTCTCCTATTTTGACCTACTTTCATATTCCTTATTTAACAACTTCTTAAAATAGTTCTTTCATCTCTCCTTAATCTCTTCATCCTTCATTAACACCTTAGAGTCCTCAATCTTAATGCACTTAACCTGATTAAAGTCTTTTGTTTTCCTCTCTTTTATCTTAACAAGTTTGTATATCCTCTCCTCTCTCTCCTTACTATCTAGTCTAGTGTATAGGTCATCATAGGTTTTCAATTTAGTCTTTCTCACTATTTTTTCGACATCCTTATTAGCCAATCGTACCTCTGAAGGTTTCCTTCAGTTCTATCATTTTGTTACTTTTTAAAGCACTTTTTCATCTTTACTACCGCTTGAACCTCCTCTACCAACCACTACGTTTTTCTAGAGTTGGGTCCCTCTCTTTTCAACTCTCTAAGAACTTCTCTTGGGATTCTCTTCATACAATTGGCTATCGAGTTCCACATAGTATTAGTATCATCTTTCAAATCCCAAGCACCTTCTTTATCTATTCTTTTTGGGTAAATATTCTTTATCTATGTTATTCTTAAATATTTCTAATTTATCCCATTTCACTCATCCGACTTGTGAATATAAATAAAAAAAATATAGGCATTAATATATATATAGATAACCAAAACTATTGAATCGATTTGAATTTCTTAAAAAGAAGGGTTATTTACACATAGACTGCCTAAATTATTGTCAATTATCACTTTGATCCCCTAAAGTATAAAAGTACACAAATAGATACCTTAAATCTATTGAGAAGTATCATTTTGACCCTCTAAATTATAAAAGCACACAAATAGATTCCCTAAACTATTGACTTGTTTCACTTTGACCATTTTCATTACTGCATTGTGAGTCAAACAGAACTATTAAATATTTTTTAGACAAAAATATCCTTCAACACTCTGTATATACAATTTCATTATTATTATTTTTTATTTTTATTTTTAAAATATAAGCATTCATCCATTACTATTGTTTTTTTATTATTTTTTAAATATTATTTGTAAATATATTTTTACAGAAAGAATATTTCAAAAAAATAAAATAGAAAAATGAAAAAAATTGAGAAGAAGTGTTGTTGGATGTGTTATATAGAGTGATGAAGGGTATTTCCGTCTAAAAAATATGAATGTAGTAATGAAAGGTGTCAAAGTGAAGCATGCTAATAGTTTAGTGATCCATTTGTATGCTTTTACAGTATAGAGGGCCAAAGTGATACTTCTCAATACTTTAGGAGATCCATTAATTTGTACGCTTTTATAATATATGAGATCAAAATGATACTTCTCAATAGTTTAGGGATCTCCATGTAAATAATCCTAAAAAGAAAAAGGCAGAGTTAGGCGGTGTTTGATAAAGCTGAAAACTAAAGACTGAAAATTAAATATTGAAAACTAATTGCTAAATTTTTTAAACTGAAAATAGTGTAATAAAAATTTAAGTACTAAACTAAAAATAAATTGTTTGATATGTATAAGATCAAATTTAAAATTTATTATTTTTAAATTGTATATTTCAATTTTTATATTATGATAGTAGTGGTAGTAGTGGTGGTGGTGATGGTATGATGGTGGTGGTGGTGGGGGTGGTAATGGTAGTGGTAGTGGTGACATGGTAGTGATGGTGGTGGTAATAGCAGTGGTGATGGTAGTGGTAGCGTTGATGATGATGGAAGCAATGGTAGTGATAGTGGCAGTAAAATGATAATGGTACTTATTGTAAAAGTAACAATAGTGATAAAAAGGGTGGTAGTAATAGTGATAATGGTTATGGTGTTAGTGGTAGTGGTAGCGGTAATAGTGGCGGCGGCAGTAGTAGTAGCGGTGGCAGTGGCATGATGGTGGTGGCAGTGGTGGTTGTGGTGGCGGTGGTGGTAATGAATTTATAATAGTATATATCGATGCATATATTTAATATTTATAAATTTAGTCAAAATTAAGTAAATTTTATGACTTATTTATTTATTTATTTATTTTAACTTATATTTTAAGAAGCACTTAAATTTGTAAGTGATATTAATTGTGTTTATCAAACGGACTTGATTGATTATCACTTAATATATTCAGTTTTAAGTACTAAATTAAATTATTAAACAATAAATTTATTGAGTATTTAAATAAATATATAACTCGTTTGATTTGAATGTTCATGAACCTTTCTATCATCGCATCGCATAGCCTGGGTTTCTTGCTAGTGCATAAGAGTAATGGAAAGGTGATCACCAAATACAGACAATTGATGCACTTCATGATAATTCGAAACTGTTAAATAATCATATCTTAAACACACGCGAACAAAATTGGAACTTGAGATTTTATTATTTATTCAGTAAAAAAAAATAAAAATAATAATTAAGCACAAGTCTAGGCTAATTGATTATGCTAAAGGAGATAATTTTCCATGGCATGCCTGATTCTTGATTATTCACACGACTCTTCTACAAATTCCATGATATTGCCACTCCAAATAGATTTAAAGCCTGAAAAATAGAAGTGAAAACAATAATGTAATTGTTAAGAATTAGTAATTACTGTTCAAGTTGATAAAGCCAACGAACTTGATTGACTTACTGTTGGTAATCAATTTTGATTACCCCAGCCACAGTGTTGGCAATGGTGGCAAAGGCTTCCTTGGAGAGATCTAGGGTTCCTCCACAGCCAGGACAATGATCCACAATCTTCACCGTCACGTTGTTTCTAGTGCACGGGTGTGGTACTGGATTTGTAGCTCCTGTGCATGCAACAACAAATATTTTCCCACATATTGCACCATTATTCCAGAGGGGGTCGCTAGCGGCAGCTATCATGACACCATTGTTCTGGTTCCCATAGCACGCCGATGCTGTCCAACCAAAAATTTTATCATAGATTGGCATATATAATTTTGATTTATTACATGATTTAGAAATTAGTTTGCAATTTTTTTTTCTTTCAATTTTATAGAATTATTAGGTAATAAATATCACTAGTGATGGCCAATTACATACAAGTACAACCTTTAGAGGTCAAACAAACTATAAAGCAAACAATATGTTGCTCCTTTAATTAATCCATTTATAATATGTTTTAATTCAATACCAGTACTATCTTTCAATTTTCTCATTTTGTCGTTTTATTTATTTATTTATTTATTTTTTGGGTAGTAAGTTCTGCATATTCTTATTTTTTTTTCTTTTTTCCTTCTGCAGAGAAACCCTAAACCTCGATGCCAATCTCTAAACCCTTTCCCTATCTGTTGAATTTTAAATAACCATCTGTTAAAAGTTTGGCAATGTCTTAAGCCGAAAAACCAAAAAAGAAAATTCTCCCTTTGGCATTGGACGATTTAGGTGATATAATGAAAAAAAAAAATCATTTGAGCATTTGGAGGAAGTTTTTGCAATAACAAAAAGTAACATTTTTTTTATCATTTGTGAAACCAATCAACTATCTTAACAGCTATTTTTTCCTAAAAAAGTCATTAAAAAAAAATATTTGCCAAATCCTAGTTAAATAGAGCCACTAGGCCTTGTAATTGCCCAAATTGTCCAACAACAAAATAGACACGATAAGAGAGAGAAGATAAGAATAAAAATACTAACGGACATAATTTGTGTAGAAAGTGGCCGTTCCCGAAATAGCATAAGCTGCATAAAAAAGGCTCAAGACAATGGCAATGGCAAAGAAAACATAAATCTTCATGGCCATCCCTCTAATACTTTGATCTTCAAACTTTAGATCCCTAGCTACCAACTTATATATGAACACTGATAACTAGTACTATGTGTTGGAAAAAAATGGATTTTTGGTGACTTTAATTAAATATTAAAGTGGGTCCCAACCGTCTATTTTGTTGGGTCCAAGTAGGTCTAGATACTTTACAATGAGATCTTTACACCACAAATAGAATGACCAAAAACCATTGAGAATTGAATGAAAAATTGACCCATGAAGTTAGCTTCATGAAAGAATTAATGGGGTTTGTAACTTCTGCCTTTATTGCAGAGTTTAATAGTGCATTAATGGGGTTTGTAACTCCTGCCTTTATTGCAGAGGTTAATGGTGCATTAGTGACCAGCCATGAAAGCTGGAGGCTTCTCCACTCTCCCCTATACATGTATAAATTGAGACTCTCCTGTCAAGTCTCAAACACAGAAATTGTTTCTTCCATTCTTTAGTCAGTTTGCCAGAAAGTTCCTACCGTGAGAGAGTGCTGCCACTGTTTTTGTTTGCTAAGCTAGACAGAGAGTGCTTCTACCGTAACTGGTTTTTGACCGTCATATCCTGGGAGACAGACGCCGGGATTCCTCAAGCACTTGACCCGTGAGGCGGCGAAATCTGTTTTAAGGAAACTGCAATCGTGCAGGCTTCGGTTTGGTTTCTTTATCATTTTATTGTTTTGTGTATTTCTGCTGACATTTGGTTGTAATTATCAGCATATGTTCTTGGTATATAATTTTGATTTCTTTATAAACCTATTTAATTAATTTCACAATTTGAACAACAAGATTAAAACAGATTTATTTATGTATTTTCTATGAAATTGATCGAATAGATTTATATAGACAATTAGGTTAGCTTTGTATAATGCTACTAGGCTCTGTTGCAGAATTGCTCACTATTTCAATGTTTGTAAATTATGCAATGTTATTCTCTAATTGCTTAGTTTAATTAGAATGCTCTATCATAATTTGCATACTTAATTGTATTACTACGATTTTATTTTATACGTATGGTTCATCATTCCCCTACTATGTTTCGCATGAATTTTAAGATTATAAAATATAATTTATGAATGTTGCAAGTTTTGACATATTATTTAGTTTCTAGCTTTTAGTTTTCTTACATGATTTAATCTTTAGAATTTTTTGCATGTTAATTGCTAAATGGTTATTGGTTTCTAACAGTTATTTGTTACTCTTACCTATTAATTTTAGTTTAATGTGTTTGAAGTTATAGAGTTTTTATGAATTGTGTACATGATTAATCTGAATTATTTAATTGGGTGCATTAATCTAAATTATTTAATTGGGTGCATTAACTTTGAATTTAATTTATTTATTTGGAGTTATTAGTTTAAAATGGTTTCAATTATTTATTATATTTATTTGTTGCCTAGATTATTTGTTTGTATTTTGTTGTGGTTTGTCACTAACTTTCTTTGTAGGAATACTTCTGCGAAAAGGAATGGAAAAACAAATACAAAACCAAATAAATAGTATTTGGGATGTAAAAATAAAAATTTTTGGACTACTAACTTTTGTGTTGAATAGGAATACTTAAGCGTGGAAAGGCTTTTGGACTAAATAGAATCCTGATGGATTGACTATTTTATTTAAATGGTTGAAGCATTTTTTGCTTGAGACTTAGTTGGTTTGTTTACCAATTTGTAGTAGCAAGTTTTATTTGCTTGTATTATTAGAAGTATTTTATATGCACGTATTTGGTTGTAGCAATTTTTAAATTGCTTGTAAGTTTGGAATTTGGTTTGGTTTTCTGTAATAGAAACCAAAGTGTTTAGCCTTTGCTAAAGAGTAGTTCTTATTTGTTCAGAAATGACAACTAAGACGAATTTGGTTTCAAACCTTTTGGGTTTGAGGAAGTATCTGGGTTTAATCATATTATTTCTAAAGTGTTGGAAAACCAAGTTTGGCGAAAATATTTGATTATAATCTGATTATTTCCAAAGTGTTTTGATTTATAATCTGATTATTTTCAAAGTGTTGTGGTTTTGAGAAAACAAATCCAATTTTAGCATTAGCAAAAATATCTCTGATTTTTATTCAAAAATCATGGGCTCAGTTCCGGGAGTACCGGTTAACGTTTATGAGTGGTGTAATTCTGGTAGCAAATTTTATTTGCTTGGAAATTGGTTTGTTATAACCTTGTTTATTCTCTGGAAATCTTAATTTTAAAATTGTTTCCCATGGACTAAGAGTCAACATGCTCTTGGATGTTTTATTAAAAGGTTAACTGGGTTTTAAGTGGGACCGATGTGACCCCTCCAGTCTTCCTGGGAACATTCCTGACCATGTTCGATTTTAGGTTAAATGGTGAGACTAGTTTTGAATTAAATTTCCATCTGAGGGATTTTCTAAGGGTTAAGTTTAATTTCTGGAATCACAGAAGTGAAATTCTGATGTGATGTTTCAGAAATAGCTTCAAAATATGACAAACAGAAATGTTGTTCCACCTGACAACCTTTGCCTCACGAGATTCTTAAAGGAAGATCTTGAGAGATCAAGTATGATTAAAAAGAAATCATAAGATTGCATGAAAAATTTCTCTGATTTGATCAGAGGCAATTGTATGGTATCCTTGTGTTATTTATAGCATTTATGATTGCTATGTGACTTTGCTTGAAAGTAAAGATGAGAGAACCTGTTATAGTGGATGAATATATTTTTGGATTTTTAAATTCCAAATATATTCTTAAATTGGTGGCTCCTAGTGAGTATAAGATCACTGATCACAGAGATAGAAAACTAGTGATTCCTATGAGGTGTTAGACTACTGGCTACACAGTTATGAGATTGTGGTTCCTAGTAGTGAACAGATTACTGATCACATGTCAAGACATGATGGTTCCTAGTAGTAGAGAGGCTACTTGTCATGACCCAAACCCGGCCCTATGGGTTTAGCACCGTAATCGGCCAGTAATCCGAGATTACCGAAGGCCTGCAGAATAGTAATCCAGTAAAACAGAATACAGGGCCTGGCGGAAGCCAATACAGTAAATAAACAATGCTCAATGAGCTGTGACAGTCTGTATGCCAAAAAGATTTTTCATGCATTCATATAATCACAACAGTACAGGCTATACAAGCATTTACAGACATTCAGTACAGGGATCTAATCCCTTCATAACAGTACAGTACAGCAGTGCAGTACAGTAATACAAACAGTAACAGGGACTAGCGGGGGAAAAGACATCCCAAGCCATAGCATGGCGAACTTGGAACCTCGCAGTGAGGCACGGTGGTTGGCTTGACAAAACTGGAAAACCCTGACGCCTCTAGCTTTGATTCGATGCCTGTACACCTACATATATATATATGAGCAGTGAGCTAAAGCCCAGTGAATAACATAAAGCGTAAAGGGGTTTAGAATGAATGTCCTTACAGTAATGAAAACAGTTCATTTCAATCAGTATTTCAGTTGCTCAGTACAGTAAACAGTCATATGTGGTACATCCATTAGTATAACAGTAACAGTAGGTCTTAAACGCACGACTAGGGTTTTTGGCGAATCTTGATATCTTTACAACGCAATGTCCAAACTCACAATCACACATCCTCGGTGGCCATGATGAAGTGGCACTTGACGTGGAGGACGCCATCTGTATACTCCTTTGATTTTTTGTTCATGTTATAAATTGATCTAATATAATCTACTGTGCGGAATGAAAGACAGTAACTGAAACAAGTTCATTTTGAATTTAGGTTAATACTTGAAAATGCTAGTTTAGTGGTGTGTTGGGACTCTCATGCTCGATGGGCGCTCGACCTCCGCTCGAGCGTAAGACACAAGTCCTCGCTCGAGCGTGCATTCCGCCGCTCGAGCGAACTGTAAACACATGCAAAGTACTGGATATACGCATTTCCCACTCGAGCGTCACTGTCCCCACTCAAGCGGACTGCATGAACTCAGTGTGTACGCTCGAGCGTAGAATACCCCGCTCGAGCGTGAGTCCAGAATCTGAAATTTCCATATTTGAACCTCAAGCTCAAAACCAAGTTTTAATGCATCAAATTCGAGCCTCTTGGGCTAATTTTCTGGAAAACTCTAGTAAACTCATAGTATAACATGTTCAAAGATCAATTTGTAAAATCAAAGCCCAAGGGTAGTTCAATTTAACACAATTTCAACTCAAAATTCAAGAACATGATGTACATGCAACATGCATGGATTTAATTAACTTCAAAGCCTCTAATTCAAGAACAAATGAGCCAATCATTTAAAAAACATGAGGAATTCACGAACTATAACAATAATATGGACATGCAAGCAAGAATTTCCATGAAAACAACTTCAAACTTCAAGATATGCACATGCATGCATGAATTAAGCCTCTATTCAACAATCTACAACCAATTTATGATCTTAAGCTCCTATTTACCATGAACCATGCAACAATTAACTTGAATTCACAAATAAGAAGGTAAATGTCCTATCTTAAGTCTTGAATGCAAGATATGGGAGCTCAAATATGCAAATTATCCTTCAATTCCTACAATTTCCAAGCAAAATCTCCAAGTTGAACTCAATTTCTCTCACTCTCTCACTCTAGTCGGTTTTGGTCTCTCAGAAATGAGCAAGAATGATGTATAGCATAGATAAGTCAAGACTAAACAATTGTCTAGCAAAACCCACTAATGGCAAAATGACAATTAAGTCCAACTCTTGCAATTTATCATTATTTAATCAAATTTAATCATACCAAATCACATTTCAATTAAATATACCATAAAATCACATAAATTCTAATTAGCACAAAACACTAATCAATTTCTGGTTCGGCCA